TTGATGAGTGACCGTGAGTCAAGACAGCTTTCTTCAATTTCATGTCGTTGTATCCATCTATCTCCTCTTTCGCTTGCGACGCGTTACGCTGTCTTTCCCACTCTCGGCAGTACCCTGATGGCAGCCATGTTCCTCTACACCTTCAAAAACGCCCATTCCTCTTCTTTTCACGTGCGCTTGGGAAGCTGTATTGATGGACCACACCTTCTATGTGAGAAGATTGCTGACAACAGAACACAGAGATGCTGCCCACTACCAAGATCATGAAGAATTATCCTCGATGCTTCCCTGTCACGGAGGAGATGGTAGAGTCGTGGACGAGCTGTTCGTACGTTGGAGAAACAACCCGGACGCATGACGAGATCCTGAGCATTGGTGAGTTTGCAACTTTTCACGGTGGAGAAGGAAATTTCTTGGGTTTGGACGTGTTGCTGACCGTTTTGCCCAGCTTCCAACTTCATAGCTGAGCATCCTCGGTACCAGCTATTTTCCAATAATTGTCAACATCTCACGGAAGAACTCGTTAGGCAACTCTGCAATGAGAAGGTTATCAGCATGGCGAATTTGGGTGTTGAGGCCAAGATGCTCTCCAAGAAATTCTCATCGACGCTTCTCATGAAGATGAACTTGGATGCGGATGCCTTGCAACAGCTGAAATCCAACATCAAGACCTCAGGGGACCGGCTCATTGCAGAGAGAGGCTCTAAAGTGGTCCCTTGACGGGTCTATATCTAAAGTTCCTTCAAATAACTTGTCTTGTTGTACGGATAAGTCTTGAGGCGGGCCCTGCGGGACTTCTCAGCTTCTGCAAGGTCCTCAACATTTTAAGGCAGGGAACTTGAAGTTACCTTGACGGACGACAAAGACCTATTTCCCTGGGGAATCAGGTCTCATAACAAGCATAACTTCTCTTTGCTCATCTTGGAGAAGAATACTTGTGGCCTTGATGACCTGCCTGAGAGCCTGTCATGTGCATCTGCTGGCGTGCCCTTGATGAAAGGAATACCTGGACCATAGACATCTCGTTGGACATCATATTTTGGGTGACGATTGTACCCCTGCGGGCAGCAACTCTTTGCAACAGCAACTTCGCTGTCCATGCCTCGACACCTTTGATTTCCTAACCTCCCACGAACGGGTGTTCCTGAATATCGCTCACGCGTCACATCGAATGCGACCGTCTGTCGCCTGCGCATCTTTCATCAAGACGGCAAAGTCCGTAAGTATCTGATATTTTCTGAGTTTTCGTTTGTCTGTGGTCTCCCTTTTCTTGACCTGCTTACCTGCCTTTCGTGTCATGCGACCATGACATCGCGCATCCCTCCGCAAATTTCCAGCTTCCTTCAATCCATCAATTGTTCATGTTAGATTTCACACTCAGGATTTATTGGCATGCATGATATCCATTTCCGCTGACTGTGAACTCTACCAGGCTCTGCAGCGAAGTTCTTCGTGCACGCGTCTACACCTCAACCCATTGCAGCGTGAGCTTGATCTGAACTTCATCAGCTCCCTCAACGCAAGGTGTGTACATATCTCTCTCATACCTGCCCAAACCCAACTGAATGATTTGTCTAGATCAACATGGCCGGTGTCCGAAAAAGCTTCAGTCTCTGCGAAACCGTGGCTGGTGCCCTACACACAATTGGCGAAGCGTACGGCATCGACGGTTGTTGGCTGCCGTGGCAATTTGAAAAGCATGTCTTGAACAACCAGGCTACACCGTTCCAAATTAGCACCGATGAGTACCCTCGTAACCTGAAGGATGGCGTCGATAAAGTTTGTGTCGAAGTCCATTACTACAACGACAATCCGAACCTTGTCAAATACATTCGATTCGAGGAGCTTCCTAGCAAGGAAAAGTACATCGTTACTCAAACATCCATGAAGCACGTGCAGGACGACGCTGCTGGAGCCAGCTGCACCCTATGGATCGAAATCCCAAAAGGCGCGGAACGCGAGGGCATTGCGGGTGTGCCGAGTCGGCTCAAGGCCAAGATCTGCTGTGCTGAGTGGAAGGACCACCTTTCCCCAACGCCAGAGACTGAAATTGAGAGGGCTCAGTTGTATGTTGCACAAGACAACGTGGAATGGTTGAAACGACAGTAAGTACCAGCTCGAATTTCCATTCATAGAAGCACCAGAAGTCTTCACCCTGTGCTTTTGTAACACGCTGATGCTTCCTGCTAGGCTCATTTTCAAGGACAGTCAGAACAACAACCTGTCGTCTTCCTTGGCTTTTCAGAGGACCGAGATTACTACACTGACGGCGGCGATTTCAAAGCTCAATGAAGAGGTTGCGAATGTCGGATGCCTGAATGTGAGAATCGGCGAGCTCAAGGCCGAAGTCAAGGCCGAAATCAAGGCCAAGCAAGACGTTATCGATGTGCTTGAGGCTAAGCTGAAAGGTCTCAGCGCAGATTTGGAGAAATCGAAGGTCACACTCAAGGAGAAGAATGGTATCATCACGAAGCTCCGTCGTGACTTGAAGGCCAAGGACAACTTGCGTGAAGACTCTGGCCCGAAGTCTCCTATCCAAGTCAAGAAGAGGAAGTGGTTGGCAGCAGTCAAGACACCCAAGGGAAAAGGCCGAGCCAGGAAGACAACACCCTACACTGCGCCTGGCAGATATGGAAGTTCTTCCAGTCTGTCTAGTGCCCCTTCCTCCCAGAATCTGGCGCTTACCCCGGATAATACCATCGTCACCGGTAGAACCCCTCTACCTTCCAGTCGCCCACAAGGTACGGCGTTCAGCTTCGGTGACACCTCCGTCGTCGGCAGAACTCGTAGCGCAACGAGGGCGTCCTTGTCTGTCGGCGACACGCCTACCGCCAGCACGCGACACAATGTACCGTCGGTCATCACTGTCTCGTCATGCAGTGACCTTGATGGGGATGTCTTCAATTAATACCGTCCTTGTCGGCTCAATGTCTAGGTCTGGGGCGGCTAGTGGAAACGGCTTTAGCAATGGGAACTTTGGTGTACAGAACCCTGCTTCGGCCTTGGGATGGTCGCTTCTGCAGACATGGAAAAGGGATCATATGGGCATGAGCAGCTCATTCGCGAGTTTACAGTGTCTTTTTTGGACCGACCGCAATTTGTGGCTCTCGTGTGTACAACGATGTGCTTGAACTCTACCGAGTGCTATTGAGGAGTTTGTAATGCATAGACCAAGATTTCTTGCGAACTGAACTACTGCCACATCCTCACTGTTTTGACGTCATATGATTACAAGAATGACCTCCTCCACTCGTCTCATCCCGAGAGCAATTACAAGTCTCGTGCGTCCAAAACAACGGCGCAAGTCCTAGATACCCTCGTTTCTCCAGGGCTCACCCTAACCCTGTTCAGAGACATCAAACGAGCAAGTGGAGATGTCACCGATGCCCGCCCTGGATGAAACTGTGCACGCGTCCTCTACGCTTAACATCTTGCTTGGACTCATTTTTTTCAGTAAAATTGGGTAAATGACTTGTAAATTTCGTTCCTGAGTGTATTTCGAACACATTTTCTTACAGAGCCTCGCGCTCCAATCTGACGACGAGGGCCTCATACATCTTGCCCTCTCCAGAGACCACGCACACTCACCCATAATGAAGTTTCCTGCGGAACCCGGCATGCAATACGCATACGTCGGCACGAATGACGCCCTCTCCCTGGCTTTCCAGACCTCTCTTCCCCTAAAAAACATACCCTCCTCAGGCCCCGGCTCAAAAGACGACCCCCGGCGTGGGAAATGCATCCTCCTCATGCACGGCTTCAGCGGCAGCTCCGCCTACTACACACGGAACTATGCTGCTCTATCTGAGGATCACTGGGTAGTAGCTCCGGACATGCGCGGCCATGGTGCCTCGGGCCGAAGCAAAGGGGGATACCACGTCGCGCGCCTGGCGCTGGATCTGCGAGCCATTGTGGAGCGGCTACGGGAGAACTCGCCAGGCGTCAAGATCATTCCTGTGGGCTGTAGTATTGGTGCTGCTGTGCTGTGGACATATGTGGAGTTATTTGGGGATGGAGACTTTGCCGGGTTCGTGTTTGCGGACCAGGCGCCTCTGCAGGACCGGTCGAGCTTTGATGAGTGGGATGAGAGCAAAGCTCACCTTGGCTGCTATGATGAGAAGACGATGCTGGGTGCCCAAAAGGCCTGGATCGAAACACCTGACGAAGCACACAAGGGGCTCGTTAGCGAATGTCTGGGCTATCGTTTTGCGCCGGAAAATACGGATAATGTCAGCCCGGAACAGGCTACACGTGATGAGGAGTTCTTCACGAGCATCAGTCGCCTTTGTGATGGCAGTTGGCTTGCGAGGTTACTGGCGGACCATACACGGTATGATCATCGTGAAGCCATTGAGATGATCACCAAACCCACGCTGGTCATGGCAGGAAAGAGGACTGGATGCTTTCCACTGGAAGGGATGAAGGAGACCGTGAGGAGGGTGGAGAAGGGTAGCGGTAACCCAAAGCTAGCTAGGTGGTTGCTTTTCAACGGTGGTCACTGGATGTTCTATGAAGAGCCCGAGGTGTTCAACAAAGAGGTTGTGGGATTTGTGAAGGAGTGTCTGGAATAATGCGATTGTGTTCTGGACTGCCTCAAGATGGTCGAACACAATTCGATATAGTACAGCACCAAAAATAGTATTCAAACCTAGATATGACTCCTCCTTCTCCATCTGCCTGGCGACCGCTGCGTTGGTGGAGATTCTCGCCCCAGTGTCCTCAAGCGAGATTTCATTGATATTGATTATCCCTCGATGAACTTGACAACCTCAAGGTACCCCATATCCTTTTGCAATTTGCAAGAATAATCAAGACCTAATTTCTTTTCTTACAAACTATATCTACAATGCTCAAAAACATAAAGGATGTCGGCCTCTGTATTTATGGATTTAAGTTATTCCATTATATGCTTAGCTAGGCACCGAATCTATGCGGGTGTTGCGTTGAATAAAAAAAGAAAAGAAAACCTCTGCATACTCTGCCTGCGACGAAAAATAATCAACCCACCGCGGGACTCGAACCCGCAGCCTCGAGATTAATTGTAGTAGAAGTCTCGCGCGCTAGCCATTGCGCCAGGCGGGCTTTTTATAATGAGATCTATAAGACTAAAATTAAAAATTATAAACTAGTATAGATATTTCCGTGTGATTTCCGTGCCAAGCGTGGTTTGGAGTCGCACGCGACCCAATCCCAAGTATCAAATGCCTCTTTAGCCACTCTGTATACTACCTCTCAGTGTATATAACCTTATTAACAAATATAAATATTTAGTAGTGTAGTGAAGTATAAGTAAAGCCGGCCCTTAAGCGAGGTTCCCGCGAAGAAGATGCTTGCTCTCTCTAGGACCCTGATCATGAATAATGAATTTAAGTATATATACACTAACGGAGCATAATTAATATGGCAATCGTGATATAGCTTGAAAAGAAGGGCGTGAATTCTGTCTCTGCATAGCCAGGATCACTACTACGCAAATCACCGAACAAGAACACTAAATACTACTTGAGTACCCTCTAGCATAGCCGAAAGTCAGAGACATGTGCCTATAGATTACGTGCTTGTGGGATAAGATCGTGGGAACTACATGCGGGATAGTTTTCTTAATGGATGATCATTTGTGGGTAAGCAATTCATCTCACAACCACCTGCATTCATCCGAAGATCACCACCAGGTTGGTCCATCGACCTAACGATTCCCAAAGCATTTGTACGGCTGGCAGTTTCACTGTAACAAATACAGCACGCCCAGAGGGAGTATTTGTTGCAATAAAGAGCGCCTGAATTATGATCACAGCTATAGAATATTCACTTCGTCCCTTACTCTCTGCCATGGGCACCTGTCGAGGAAAATATGAATATCATCTGTTCCTTGGATATGTGTCGACCCAAACAGGTAGGATCAGACCTTCGGGAGATGTCAGATTGTATCTCTTATGCTAGATTGAATCATCGATTGTCGGGCCTTTCCATACAGGTGGTGTTTTCTGGCTGCGGTATTTGCCCATCAACACGGGCAGGTTTTCGTAGTTTCAAGTGTGATATCTATTAGGTATCTAAAGTGAGATGCTTTTCATATCAAGAAACATTGAAATGGGTTTCTGTACGAAACCATCCGAAGCCCGCTCTCAGAAATGATTTGTGAAGGAGATGTTGTAGCCATGAATATTTGAACCCATGCTTTCTCTCTGTGGCATTATATTGTGATATTAATGCAGGGTATGTAAGTGCGTTCTATCATATGATTTACATATTTTCCGTCGTGAAGTATATACTTGATATTGAGTGTGAACATAGCGCCTCGCTGCCTTGCAAAATCAATCATAACCAGCTCATGTGACCACCGTCGATATGATCATGTCCACATTAAATTACGCGACTGGCGTCTCGACTGCAACCAGAGGGGTCTCGAGCTCTCGCCCAGGTCACCCGTGCCCTGGTTGTTCCCACTCATTCCAGCGCCATTCACGTCATTAAGCATGTCCTCTTCGTCTTCCTCACCAATCCGGCTCAAAGCATCGTGGAATCCCTGTGTGAAGTCCTCTATCTCAGGGGATGAATGACGCAGAGGCACTTCGTCATCTCCAGAGTCGTGCGGCGAGGCATACGCGCCCCGATAGCCGCCGGCTCCAGCAGCTGCGGCGCCTGCAGGAGCCCAGGCTGTGCCTGGATGATTCTCGAGGAATTGACGGTCCGTCATGTCACTTTCATTGTGCCACAACGAATTCTGCCCTGGCCCGCCTGTAATGTGCGTGATGGTCTTGCCTCGCACCGTCGCCGATCGTCCACTGTGGCTATCCGAACTCGAGCCCAGTGGGGCAAAGGCTGCACCGCCTGACATGGGGCTGATGTACTGCGTGTCTCCCGGCCTTGGGCCAGGTCCTTGACGAGAGTTCCCTGACATTCGTCTTCGGTAAAAATAAGCCGCCACGGCTGCAATGCCCACCAAAGCGGCTACGCCTCCAATACTGCCGCCAACTATAGCTCCTGTGTGGTTTGAACCACCGTCGTTGCCTGTACTCGTCCCTGGTGCTGCCGTGGGTGTCACGCTCGTTGAGCTTGTCGAACTTGTTGAGCTCGTCGATGAGGACTCGGTCGATGAGCTCGTCTCGGTGAGTGTCGACGGGGACGGGATGGTAATAGTAGTGAGAGTACCTGTTGTTTCCGAGGTTGCTGATGATGAGGAAGCCTTAGTAGAAGTGCTCGACCCAGATGCTGTGCCGAGTGTCGTAGGGGTCGCCAGAGGACTGGGACTTTGTGTGAAAGAGACTTCCGCGGTTGTGAGAACAATCGCTGAGGGGACGCCCGAAGCGCTTGGGAGAACTGTCGCTGCCAGATCTGTGGCTGTTCCGCACCCAAATTGTGAATATCCTCCCTCATACATATTGCTGTAGCAGACATTTCCCTGAGTGCAAGTGAACACATACGGGTTCAGCTCAGTCTGGGCACCGCTATTTGCATCCACGCATGCTGTATAGACCCCTGATGTGCAGGTGTCGACGCCGTTGGGACAGCAACCTATCACATTGGCATCGGCATCCTTTACACAGTGGGATCCTGCCGAACAGGTTGCTGCTAATGAAGCATCGCCATTTATATAGCCACACACTGTGTTTGTGTCCTGTCTCCTCAGAATTTCATGGAACGCGCGCAGATCGAGGGGTGGGGATGTAGGCGCCGGCAAAGGTGGATAATTGACCACATTCAGCGGTCGGTATGGTATTGTGGTGGGTGTTTGGCGCGGCACGTGTGCTGAGGTGAGGGCCACGATGTTGGATAGAAGAAGCAAGGCTGTGGGCGTAGGTAGCCTCAAGAAGATGTCCTGCGGGAACATCCTGAAAGCTTGCTGGCCTAGTCACTGGTTCAACGCAACATAAGTGTATGGTGTTAAAGCGACACAAGGCGTTATGAAGATGACCAAAGCGAAAGTGCGTTATAGCGACGAAGCGAAAGCAAGAAGAGCGAAAGACTAGCTAGGTAAAATGAAAACAAGAGACGTCACAAAGATAGTAAGTAGTTGGAGGGGCGTAAATAAGAGGCAGTGAGCTGGAATAAAGGTGGTGGCGGAGGAGGATCAGCAAGGGTCCTCGCAAGGGTGTTGCAGCCCATCTAGCGCACGAGCAGGGATGAATCTGGATCACCGACTGCTTGGCTGTGCAGGTGCAGCCCTGCCAGCTGCCACCTAGGCTGTTAGGTAAATCCACTACTAGGTACCTAGGTACCCCCCATCACCGCCTCAGCAACCCGCAACTTTGGGATGACTGCTAGCGAGGCAGCCCAGGTTGCAGCCAGGCCCCCAGGGCAGCCAGGCTAGCCGGCTAGGAGCGGTAGGGTGGTGTACCCCCGCCTACCTAAGGTATGTACATACGTAAGGCTCTGCGTTTGCAGTGCGTCAGGGTCAGGCACTTTTTGGAGGCCGCACATTGAGGCACAGACAGGGATCGGCATCTTGAAAGTGCCAAACTTTTTAGGAATGTTTCGCATACTCACCTACATGGCAGCCCCTTTGGTCTTCGGGGCACAAATCCTTCAGATGCCAGTCATGGAAGCCAGCGCCATATGTGCATAGAGGCGATACTGTTGGTCCTTGGCATTGTACACTCAAGCAAGGAGTATTTGGGTTTAGGTTTGTTTAGTCGTGACAAGCGAGTATCCACTGTCAGCCTCCAGAAAAACGTCCCTGGCGTCATCCGCCAGCTTTTTTGATCGGACGTCCCCCGGGCGGCATCCGAGCACTGGTGGCACGGTATAATTCAATCACAAGAGCCGTCCCGAGGTCGAGAATGGAACGAATGGAACACCGTTGCTAGAATTTAGCTTGTCCCTGCATGTCTCACAGCCACACACGTGAATGTGCTACCCTTGATTTTGAGCAGAGGTGGCGGAAACTAAGGGTTTCCATGCATATGCGTTGTGTGGATCTGTTTTTAGAAACATGTACCAAACCTGCAGGTGTACTATGGTAGCTGGCTTGCGCTGGCCTGCGCTAGTTCCATCATTAGCCCTGCGGGCCGTCGTTGGAGAGCCACAGAATGCCACCGTTGCAAACATCACTACCCCAGGTTTTAGACCGTACGTAAGGTTGATCCAGTGTCTCGGTTATTATTCTAGTTTGTTTCTTCTTGGCTATCTCCCTGTTACGGACTGCTGCTCATTACGACATGGCACTTGACGGCATGTAGGAATTTAAACAGATTACTATGTATCCATCCTGCCTTCGCCCGCTGCGGATGGGTGCATCTTCTAAGCACTTCCGGAATGTCGCTATTATAAGCCTCCCCGATGATGTGCAGGAAGGCACATTTCCAGACACGGCAGACACGATGACATGCAGGTACTGACTGTACTCCCTCAAGACCTCCTCGAGGTCCATACTGCCCCCAAACTACTATGGCATGTCTGTATATTGGCCTGCAGGAACGTTGTGCAATGTAGCCAGTCATTATAATGAGATAGATATGATCGGGGACTGCGCTGCAAAGGAGACTGCTACCATGCTCGTATCTGCCCTGTGGCAAGTCAGTGTTTTGTCAATGACAGCCAATGGTGTTCAGTTGCACCCCTACGTTTCCAAGCTAGATTTGTGCGCGAACTGTGATTGTGGTCACTAACAGCAGCAAGGTGTCGTCACGCTCACTGCAACCCTCGCCACTCGCCCTCGGGAGACCTTTGACCCGTCGCTGTCGTCCTAAGAACTTCAAATTGGCTGCCGACAAATGATCAGCGTCTTCTAGAACTTCCTCCGCAGAACACCATCTTTCTCGGAGGCCGCACAGCACTCACTACGGATTATTTGCAAGATCCTGATTTGTGAGCAGGGCAATGTCGGGAGTATCCAAAATTACTATGCTAATATTCTTAAGGACTCTACACATGGCTACTTCGCGGAATAGAGCGCTGTTAGAGCGCTGTCCTTTCGGTCTAGCAATTCTCTTGGTGGGCCGAACTCCACCAACTGGCCATGGCTCATCACGGCGACCTTGTCAAATCCCATGATGCCTTGCATGCTATGTGTGACTGTGACGATGGTACGTTGGGCCAGTTGACACTGAATAACGTCCAAGATGCGCGACTCCGTTGCCGAA